CTAAAGAGCTGAGGATAATATACAAAAGCCTGATTTCACCCATATTAGGATAATTTCCTTCTGGGTAAGAACTGCATCCGGCTGGAAAGGCATAGGATTTTTGTCTTATTTTTTTACATGAATGAAGTTACCATCAATTACAGCTTCCTTTGGACCACCCTGAAGCAAGGTGCAGTACCCGCATGCTTCCTTGTCAGGGTTACGTGAAACTATGGAATCATTAAAAACACCAATTAGAAGCGAAAAAGTTTTTTTTTTTTTTTTTTTTTTTTTTTTTTTTTACCATTCGCCAACTCTCACTTGGCGATATTGGTTTAGAGAAGACGGTTATACGGCAGTCGAAGGTAAGGAAAAATATTCTCAGAAGAGATGCTGCCATACGAAGTGTCTTGAAAGGGTATGTTAGACAAAGGGAAATATACTCGCGAACATATCCCGTAGTATTACCAAAAGAAGAAAAAGTTGAATCGCGGTAGATTAGGAGCAAGAAGAGTAAGGGAAACTCGAGTGTAACCGGCGGTAGCGTAACGAGGCGGTAGATACACCAGGAAACAGGGTGGAGATATCTTAAGGTATGGTTGCAGGTCTAAGATGTCAGGTAGATGAACTTTGAAATTAGAAAATGGCTGAAATCACCATCCAGTGACGACTATCGGCCGGTTTGTTAAAATTGTGCCAGGACCGACCTAATAGACTTTCATTACACAGACACACACAGAAATAAATGCCTTTCTATCAGAACAGACGTGCATATCTACCGTGCGGATAGAAAAATGAATGTATATTTATTTGATAGATCGATAGATAAGCATTTATTTCTGCGTATAAAGATGTCTGTTTATACGGATATTCACTGAATCGGGCCTGGCACAATTTTAACAAACCGGCCGAATGCTCCAACTTACGAGAACCGCCTCTATCGGGTATGGTATTTATGATATAAATTAATCCTTTTTGTTTGCAGTTTGTCGCGGAAATGTCACGTGAAAGGTGTCTTGGAAGTGATGTGATGATCCGAAATGATCAAATTTAGTCTTTGATATTAAATAAGAAATAAACACACACACACACACACACTCTTTAAAAAAAAGCTTCCTTATCACTAAGAACTCTTCCGTCATTTCAGCGCAGGACTCGCCCTCAGGTCCTTCAGCCGGCGTGTCCTTCGTCGTGCGGCCACTCGCTGTCAGCTCCTGCGTCACACTTGAGTTATGCTATGTTATGTTGAGTTGTTAGGTATTAGGTTAGGTTAGCGTTATGTTATGTTGGTTTGGTTAGGTTATGTTTAGGTTATGTTGGGGTAGGTAGGTTTAAGGTTAGTTAGTTAGTTATTAGGTAGTTAGGTTAGGTTAGGTTAGGTTAGGTTAGGTTAAGGTTAGGTTAGGTTTAGGTTAGGTTAGGTTAGGTTTTAGGTTTAGGTTAGGTTTAGGTGTTAGGTTAGGTTAGGTTTTGCTTGTAGTTTATTAGGTTAGGTTAGGTAGGTTAGGTTTAGCTTTAGGTTAGGTTAGGTTAGGTTAGGTTAGGGCGTTACGGGTTAGGTTAGGTTAGGTTAGTTAGGTTAGGTAGGGTTAGGTTAGGTTAGGTATGGTTAGGTTAGGTTAGGTAGGGGAGGATAGGTTAGGTTAGGTAGGTTAGGTTAAGGTTAGGTAGGGTTAGGTTAGGTTAGTTAGGTTAGGTTAGGTTAGGTTAGGTTAGGTTAGGTTAGGATTAAGGTTAGGTTAGGTTAGGTTTAGGTGTAGGAGGGTTAAGGTTAGGTAGGTAGGTAGGTTAGGTTAGGGTTAGGTTAGGTTAGGTTAGGTTAGGGTAGTTTAGGTTAAGGTTAGGTAGGGTAGGTTAGGTTAGGAAGGATTAGGTAGGTTAGGTTAGGTTAAGGTTTAGGTTAGGTTAGGTAGTTAGGTAAGGGTTAGGTTAGGTTAGGTTTGCTGATGGTTATGCTTTGGGGGTTAGGGTAGG